CGATTGGACGTCATATGTGAAAAAAGCACATACTGAAAATTCATCATTTTGCTATCAAAATGACAGTAGACATTTTGAACAGGCATGTTGCGATGCATGGTGTCACATGCCACAATGCATGGCACAAAAAGTTGGGCGTGTAGCTCTATGCCACATGCCGTGGCTCACGTACTACATGCCATGGTGCATGACCCATTCTAACTTGATATTGTGATTTTAAATGCATGTAATGGGTGACGTGAATGCATATAAATTGCTTCCGTTATATGTTACTTTAATGCATTATGGTCTCTAATGATTTTACAAACAAGTCTTTAGCCAAAGCTTTTCAAATAATATATTTGATTATTGTGGTGATTTGTGATGTGGTAATTCTATTAATCCTTTCTTGTATTAAGTGAATGTAGGAGAGGGTTGCAACCACCATCTTAACCATATGATTACATGAAGCACACAATCATCCTTGCATTTATACAGGTAATTCCTATCAATTGACATAGCAATTGCTAATTTTGTAACATATTCCAACGCTCTTATTACCATGCTAACTTGTTTTCTTGTAAATGAACATTTGCATAAATGATTTCAAACTCAGCATCGTTATTAGATAGTGCTGGTAGCTCTGGCTTAACATGTTTTAGAATTGCAATGAAGTCATCCCTCTACATCATCAAATATATTATAAGCACCTTACATGTATGTCATTAGAAATAGAAGAAGAATTTATTATTAATCATTAGATTCTTACACAACCAAATGCCATCATATGCTTGGCAACTTTGTCGAAGAAGTATCTTCACCAGTATTTGAAACATATATAATTTCGGGGTAGCTTTTCCTCTCTATGTTCACTCTTATATTTACTATTTCCTCATTTTTAGTGCTTCAAAGCATCACTTGAGGATGGGCCACCTTCAACCAATGGGAAATATTGGAGGAACAATATTTGAAAACAAAACACATATCACACACAACTCAAAAAGTCTAACTTAGTTCATAAAAGTGACAAACACAAATGTACCAGTAAGAAGAACACACAGCTTCCAACATTTTTAGTTCCACGGAGCTTTCCATTCTTAATAGCCTTCTTGTACTTTTCAATTTCAGTTGTTAGTTCATTAAAAACAAGTATGGCCCAATTATATTGTGCTCATTCATTGTTGGTGCAAGCTATGACTTTCAATAAACAATCACTTATACAAAAACTTGCACTTGGACACAATAAAGTACCCAATGTATAAAATATAAATAAAAACTCAAAGGAATCATCATGTTCTCTAGACATTATCTTTCTTTTCATTTCATTATAAGAGAGAGGGGAATAAACTCTCTTCATTTCTCCTACAACCTCCTTATTAGAAACTATTTTCACTTCTTCACCTTTATTAGGTAACCCCAGTAAGAGCTCAACATCTACTGACTTGATGTTAACAATCTTCCCTTTTATGCTAATCCTTTTAGTAGGTAGATCATATCCATTAATCACCTTTGCAATAAGTTCTTGAGGAATTCTCTTGCAACTCATATTAACAACCTCCCAAATCTAATTTTCTCCATCCTTTCCCTTAAATGTTTATTCCCCTTCACATATTCAGCAACTTCTATAAACTTACTAAGTGAGCATTTGGTTAGGAATGGTAGAGTGTACGTTTCATAGATTTCTACTCTTCCTTGCAATTCCATTTCTTTGTATTTCTTCTTCTCTTCCTCAATCACTTTCTTCCAAGCTTGTATAACACTATTCGCTACATCTTGGAAGCTCTTAAACTTTTCTTTCCTATTTGCATAAAAATCCTTCTTAAATAATTTAAATCCTATCACGTGTTCCTTGTTTTCTTTGTTAGTCATTTTTCTACCACTGTATGTATCAGCAATTCCATGACTTAGAGAAATCATGTATATTACATACTTGTTGAAAATAAAATAACAAGACTTGTTATCTCTACATTGTGTATTTATCAAAATATTAACGGGACTTGTCTTTTGCAAAATATAAACTTGTCTAAATCTTGTAGATTTTATACTTGTCAAAATAATAACAGGACTTGTCATTTTAAGATTCAATACTTGTCAAAATACTAACTGGACTTATCTTTACAAGATGATATACTTGTCTAGAACTTTCAAATCATGCACATTATATACTTGTTAGTAGGACATAATGGGACTTGTCATTTCCACATTATATACTTGTCAAAATAGAAACGAGACTTGTCTTTCTCATATTATATCCTTTATCAAAACTTTAGACAAATAATAAGCATTATAGACTTGTCAAAATAATAATGAGACTTGTCATTTGCAGGTTAGATACTTGTTAAAAAACTATAAGAATAATACTTGTCATTGCACATTGTATACTTGTCAAACTAATAATAGGACTTGTCCTTTGCATCCACTTACATATTAAACGCTTTGATAAATCATCAACATTATATACTTGTCAATCACAATAAAACAACAAAAAACCAACAACATTTGTCCTCTCCTTTATCAGCATCCATTAATCAGGCACAACACTCAACTAATTAAAGGGACTTGTTAATTTCAAATTGACTATCTATTGTTATACTAACAGGACTTGTTAATTTAGAAACTTCTCAAACATCACATGATACTTCAATATTTTCATAAGCATATATTTCATTCACCTACTAATGAATAAGTATGGGAGTCAAGACATACTACTTATTTTCCTAGGGCAATATGTACTCACTTTGTTAACTAGTCAATATGAACTAATCAATTGTTAACTTCTTAAAGGGTACTTGTTGTTATAGCTTTAGGTCTTGTAAATTTTTTTAAACTTTTTTGAGGGAATAATGCAATAGTTTACAAACAAAGAAGGTTGAAGGAACCCAACTTATAGTTCAATGCAGCTTTTACTTCTCGCAAACTCCAACAATGCTCGTGAACATGACGTTCCACGGCTATGCCCAAGCTTCTGTAGCACACTAGATCTCGATTAACTAGATGAGTATCTTCTCCCAAACTCAAATTGGGGAAACTATCTTTAGTATAGCCAAACTGCCTCTGAACCAATAATTGTACGAAGTCGCTAGAGGGGGAGCCAAAACTAATGATCTCTTTTTTTGATTTTTAACACTAGGGGTGCTTTCATCTTTTCTCAGTGTGAATTAATTATAGTTAGGACCTCCCAGACTGTAGTGTAATTTCAGATTCAATTGGTCCTCAGTTATGAATATCTTTCTCCAGCGATCTTTGGATGTAATTTTCCCAAAAAGAAAAGAAAAGAAATGGAAGAGTGTGACGACCAGTGAAATGCTAAAATGTAGAGTTGCATAAAAGAATAATTGATAGAACTTTGGCCTAATCTGAAGTCTGGTCCTTTTCATGAAAAGGATTGAACTAGGTAACCTGTGATCTGATTTGGTTTTGATATAATCTAAAGTTGAACAAGATCGGACTAGTCTAATAGGACTAGAAGACTGGTCTCACTTTTGTCTAGTATCTCACTTTGTTTTTTCTTTTTTCATCTACGAGAGGTAGCAATTTGTTTCAATATAATAAACTCAATTAACATAATAAATTACTTATAGTCATATAAAATTTATCACAACAACAACAATTATAAATCCATAGCAATTTCCAACAACAACAAAATGTATTTTAGTTACAACACAAATAATTCAAATTAAACAATATTTGACAACATTAAACAACCTTTAGCATGTCTAAAAGCTCATTACACTAAGTTAACAATAAATTTCACCAATGAAAGAAAAAGAGTGAGCTTGGTTAATGTTATAATTTTCCTAATAAGTATAAAACACAAAAAATTACTAATTATTATTATAAATTAACTTATTGTAATAATAATTATATTAGATAAATTTATAGGATTGGACTAGACCAAGTGGTTCAGATACTTGGTCTCTTATCTAGTCTAACCTAAAGAAAGAGTTTGTTCTTTTTGGTCCTGAAAGACTAGTTTTTATTTGGATTGGATCGGACCGAATTTGTTTTGGGTTTGGTTGGATTGAACCAGACCAAAGAACTTTTGCACAACGTTGAAATGGTACCAACCCAAACTTGTTTTAAATTGGGAAGTTTGCAAGCTGCAACATCTCCCTTCATTTCTTTTTTTAAAGAAACCCTATTTGTATGTTGCTTTGCTCCTTTTCTTTTGATGAGTTGGACTTTGCTCTTTTGGCTTCCATTCTATTTCCCTCTCAACATTGCCCTACTCGCCTCTATGTTCTACTAGGTATTGTTTACTTCACTAGTTTCTTCTCTTCCTCTCCATTTCTCTCTTTTTTGCTCCTGGCAAGTGTCGAGACACAAGAGTGGTAGGCTGTGCGATGTAAGAGCAACATTGAAGTAAGGAGCGATCTGTTGAACCTGGACTCAACTCAATTGATTTTTTATTTTTAAAAAAGGGTATGAGGGCCGAAAAAAGCTTGAATAAACCCAAAGCTTTTTTCTTTTAAATAATGCTAAGCCTTGTTTTGAAATCTTTTTAATTTATTCAGGTCGACTCATTAAAGTTGATCCAAATTATCACCTCTAAAATGGGGAAGAGGGTGTCTCTACTTTTCTTCTTTGCATTTCCTTTTCATCATTCTTGAATCAAATTTTTTTAACGGTTCATATTTAATTTTTAATAAAATTATTATTTTAATTTCATACAAAGATATATAAATAAAATATTACAGTTTATAATTATTTAGATTAAAATTTAATGGTTTAAATTTATTTATATATCTTTGTATAACATTAAAATGATAATTTTATCAAAAAATTAATTTAAACTGTTGAAATTTTAATCTAAAAATAAAGAGAATGAAATGGAGAAAAACGAAGGGAAGGGTGTGGAGGCACCCTCTTCCCCCTGAAATGACCCTCAGCCCTCGCAAATAAATTACTGCTGGGCAAATTTCTGTCAGGCTACGGGTGACAGCTTCAACAACGTTTGGTTTGGTTTAACTGCACGTTCGCTGCCCAATGTCGTTTTCGGCTTTTTGTGTCGTTTAGGCCCACCTTCAGAGTTGAGACCTTCCTCTTCTTGGAGGATGATAAAGATAATACTGTTCGACCCAATCAATCCGCGAGTCTAGACCTCCTAGTTTAGGCTGTCAATACCCTAAATACCCTCGTCTTCCTTCCTTGTTCCCCACACTAACGTCAAAACCCTCCAGGTACTGAACTCGTTTTCTTCCTCCTCCCCAAGGGGTACTCGGAATAAGTGGAACTGTCGGAGACTTTTTGTAGAAGCTCTCTGCAAAAAAAAAAAAAAAAAAATTTGCCCTCTCTATATGCTAATTTTGTTTTGTGGGTCTATTTCAATCAGCTTCAGCAGAAACCACAATGACCGACCCTTCCGAGGAGGCTGCTTATATTGAGAAGCTCTACCAATATGGCGAGCAACTCAATAATGCCAAGGATAAGTCTGCGGTTCGATGTTTATTCCCGCTCACTTGAATGCTTTTTTTAAAGGGCTTTAGTTCGCAATCCCAGAGTTTTCAATTGGGCTTAATTGTCTTGCGGGATTTTGCAGAATGTGAGTGACTATCAAGGAATTATAGATGCAGCCAAGACTAGTGTCAAGGCGAAGCAACTGGCTGCTCAGCTCATTCCCCGATTCTTCAAGTTCTTCCCTGATCTTTCAGGCCCTGCCCTCGACGCACATCTTGATTTGGTTGAGGAAGAAGAGCTTGGGGTCAGTATTTCACTTTCACAAACACATATGCTAATGTTATAGCTGTACAGCTTGCTATTTTTAGCGAAGAAACCGTTTGTAAAAGGAAATGAACCAAATTTTAATTTTCACGAGCAGCTTCCTAAGATGTTGTACGTCCATCTCATGTTGCATACCTATGTTTTAGTTCAGTGCATTCTCATTCTCTCTTTTACGAAGTATTTGAGAAATGAAATGCCTTGTGCACAAGCTTAACCTTAGCATGGTGAAAAAGGATTATGTTTGCATAGTCTTGTGTCTGTCAATTTTTTTTCCTGAGGATTATTTTTGGAAGTTTGTTTTTCCTGATATTCTTCTCCTGCTGTAAAGGTTCGGGTTCAAGCAATTAGAGGACTGCCCCTTTTCTGTAAGGATACGCCGGAAAATATAGGGAAGATAGTTGATATTCTTGTACAAATTCTTGGATCTGGTAAGTTATAGTTTCTGAAGTCTGCCATTCATATTTCATATGAACTTGAGCAATTACTATAACTATTCTGATCTTGTTTTCTTGTTTCAGAGGAATTCGTGGAGCGTGATGCTGTACACAAGGCCCTTATGTCTCTTCTGAGGCAGGATGTAAAAGGTATTTTGAGATGTTTAGGTTAAGCTGAGATATCTTTTATGAGACACTGAGAGGATTATGCGGTAGACAACGTTATAGAAAATAAAAAAGTGGCATACATGTTAATGAGCATGAGGTGGAAAGGAACATAATTTTTTTATAAGCAGGGAACGTGTCATTGTTTAGTTTTGTTAAGAACCTTCAATTCATCAGTTCCTCTTTTACATGTGGTCCAGTTTTGACCTTGTTTTCATTACATGGTTGGCTTGATGTTAAATCCAAACTATTATTAGAGTTTTGTAGCTGTGCTACAATAAATAGGAAATGACATTGTAAATGTTATTCAAGTGTCTCGTTGTATTATTGGACATTTCAACTGTTTGGTACTTGCGCACTGCCATTCAGTCTTGAGATTTTCAACCAAACTTCGATAGACTTACTACTAGTTCTAGGTGTTGCACTAGTATGATGAGTCCTGAGTTGTATGCTGTATGCCTATGGGTATCAGAAATATTTTATTCAAGCAAAGGACCCATATTTTTAAACTGATAGTAAACTGCTAAATTTTGGATAGAAAAACTTACTCCAGCATCTTGTTCTAATGTTATTCTTCATAATGTTAATCCTTGCTCTAGTGGCATAAGACTATTTATTTCTATAATATTTAATTTGCAATGATAATAACACTGGCCAGCCTAATTCTGGTTCTATGCGGGAGTATTTTCAGTGGCTGCTGCATTTTGTACTTTGGAGTTCCTTTCAACACGTTTGTTTTGTAGCAGGCTGATTTCTCCATGCATTAAGTTTGTCGTATTCTGAAAAGTTCCCATCATGTATACTCCCTCTGGACCACAATATAGTTCATCTTCTAAAAACCTTGTTTGATCCAAAATATAAGGCATTGGGTAACTTTTATAATTATTTTTCAACTATACCACTACTTCATTTATCAATTTTTTTGAAAAAAATGATGCATTAGAATTTTAATTATCATTATTAAGGCACTTATATGGGGTATTTAATGATAATAAATTTGGAAGAATGTAATTTTTTTTTAAATTAAGGTTTTAACTAACATTTTTTGTGGACTGTGAATTAGTTATCACTGTCTTATATCTTGGTCTGGTAAGAGTAATAAACTAACGAAGTGTGAAGGATTTTAGAATAATGACTCTTGAGTTTCTTATTTTATTACAAAATCATATAGGAAGCAGATGGCAACAAATCTGTCATTCAGCCCCAGACATAAAGCCACCATTAAGATAGCAAAATCTTAGGATTTAAAAAAAAAAGGAAAAAACTGTTGATGGTTTGCACTAAATGGTGCAAAATGTCATTCTTTATCCTTGTAAAATATTTATCTGAATTTTTTTAAAGCACTTGTATGCCTTAGAGATTCCATACATTTGGAATTGCTTCTTCGTTCAGGTTGAGTCTAATAATTGTTTTAATGCAGCTTCATTGACGGCTTTGTTTAAGCACATTGGGAGTGTTGAAGAGCCTAGTACAGATGATGCCATTCGTGAAAAGGTTATAAATTTTGTTAGAGATAAGGTAACAAGGGAAGTGGCTAATTCTAATGGTCCTTTTATTCTATTATGCCTTTTAACTAGAAGTGAATGATAATTATTTTCATTTTAGGTTTTCCCTGTTAAAGCAGAACTGTTGAAGCCCCAAGAGGAAATGGAAAGACATATAACCGATCTAATAAAAAAGGTATCTGTAATTCCTAGGCTCATTATTTTATGAGTGTATTTGTCTATTTAATATGTTTAATTTGGTAATTTACTAGAGAGTTTAAATTTATGGTTGAATGCTGTTGTAGAGTTTGGAAGATGTAACTGGTGCAGAATTTCGAATGTTCATGGACTTTCTAAAGAGTTTGAGTCTCTTTGGTGATCAAGCTCCACCTGAGCGCATGAAGGAATTGATTGGAATCATTGAAGGGCAAGCTGATTTAGATGCACAATTCAATGTAAGTTTTTTTGTTTTTTGTTTTTTTTTTAATGGCTGTCTGGGGAGTTTGTTCATTTAGGGATTTATGATCATTATCATCACTTTATAGGATTTAATTATTTAGATTTTTATGTTTAGTAATTTATTGTAACCTGGAGTCTAAAGATCCTACTACCATTTGGAAGTGTTTTACACTTTTACTATTATCCGGATGTTGATCAAACGGAGGACACTTTCAATTATTAGTCTATGCTCATTGTACTGAAAAGAATTTTATTTTTTTGTTCTTGTTTTGATATTGGAAGTTGTTTGCACTAGAATGTTCATCATTAAATTGGTTTTACTATTTTGATCTGTTCTGTTTAGGGATTTGATGTAAAACAATGAAGGGAGTGGGGAGGGAGAATTTGAAAAGAAAGAGGGAGAAAATAGAGGGAGCCGAGGGAGATATAGAGAGAAATTGAGGTAGAGGTAGCTGAAAAGTTCTCAAATCTTATTCAATGGCATAAAAATGAACTTGTCAATAGCCCTAGGGCTATTTATGGAGTCCTATTTCTCTAATTCTGTTTCATCTAAACTACTCAAAGTCTAAAAGATAAAGATCATCCTTATTCAGATTAAGATAACTTCTAATTGAAGACTGAATTAAATCTAAAGACATTCTAGATAATTTAATTTACATAAAATATCCTAATCCTAACATGAAACGAAGAATCCAAATGATCTCAGAATAATAATAAAATAATGCTATTCATGTTTCCATCAATGTTTCTGTTAGTCGGGAATTGACTTATTTTATTTCATAGGGTAAATGTGTATTTTTGCCCTTGAAGTTTTTTCCGAGATGCATTCAGTACTTTAAAGTATTTTGCATAGCATTTTTGCCCCTTAAGTAATTAATTTAGAGTATTTGCTACCCTGGCGTTAAATCCTCACATGCTGACTGTTAGAATTGCTGAGTTGGACTACACTTTGATTGAAAATGCTGAGTTGGACTAAACTCTCCCTTTCCCTACACTGTACAGTCAACCAGTCAAAAAACCTCATCCTGAAGTAATCTTTCTCTCTCTTTTCCTCTTCCTCTTCCTCTGCTGCTCCCCTTCCCCTCTCTGTTGCCTGAGCTCTCCTCCATTATGCCACCACCTCCAACGACATTGCCAAATCACTTTGCAATACAGGTTCAAGGAAATAGCTTTGCGGCATACATCAACAGACAGACTAAAACACCACCGCATGCTGTTGTATCCTTATCCTCGAAGATATTTGGCTTTAACCAAGCCTACTTTGTAACCTGAAACAGTTCTAACGTTAGAAATGGTTTCACAGTTCGTACATATTCAAGAAAGCAAGTGATTTGCATCCAGCCAAATTTGCAACCGAGTCAAAAAAGAAACCCAGCTCATTTTTTACAATGATTTAACTTAATTCTTTGCCATATAATACCAATAAAATCCAAAAAAGACCGAGAGAAATAGTGTAGTTTTCCTCTAAATCAAAACAACATTTTGTGTGGGTGAGTGTAGAGAAAAACTCAGATACAGCTAGATCAAGGAATGACTAGAAAAAATCTTCTCTAGAGTTATTCTCATGAAGCAATTGAGATTATTCAACAAGAAGAATAGATGCTGACTGTATGATCCTTGATTAATATCTAGAAGTGAAGGAATCATGGAAGAGACATATAAGTCACGATCAAACAAAGCTAGGAAGAAATGAAGAACTTACAGGTTAAAGACGAGGTTGAAACCGCAGCAAAATCTGAGAAGACAAATATGAAGGGAGAGAGAGAGAGAGAGAGGGAGGAAGGGAGGGAGGGTACAACAACAGCAACAGTGGGAGGCCAAAAACTGAAAAAGGAAGGGAAGAGAGGAAGCATGAATGGCTATAGTCAAAGTGAGTGAATACCCTCAACTTTCTCTAGCGAAAACCCAGTCAAAAAGTGACTGTAGACCTGTAAAGAACCTCTTGTTCTCGGAGTATTCTGTGGCCATGGGCATATCCTGCAGGGTTGCCGGGAAGGATGTCAGTGATTTTCATAGCAGCCATTCTTGTGAGGAGCAACAAAGGTGGTGTCAGGGGCTGATGAATTCATGTTGCATTTGCGAGTAGTGTCCACCTCAACAATTAAGAGCCACTTGTCACAGAAAATGCGATCCGCAAGACATTGTTTAACAGCATTGGTGAGGGTTTAACATCGGGGTAGTGCTCCGAATTAATTACTTAATGGGCGAAAATGGCATGCAAAATACTTTAGAGTATTGGGTGCTCTTCGGAGAAAACTTCAAGGGCAAAAATGCACCTTTACCTTATTTCATATGAAATGGTTTTACTACTATCAGAACTAATGTGGGGTTGATGTAGCAAAGGATGCCTTTTGTTTACTACTATGAGTTGCAACAGTACTGATGAGAATGATTTAAATTTATTCCCTGTTATTGACTTGTTCTTTTTTCCCACTTCAAATTGCACCTGTCTTTGGAAATGGGAGTATTATGCATTAACTAGGTATTTGGCACTAGGTTTCATGCTGGGGTTAATTTTTAGGATGAATATTCTGTTTGAGTGGTGGAGGATGTCAAAATGAGCATGTTGAGCAGTTGATTTATGTCTTGGAATGTTATCCACTGATGCTTAGATGAGAGTTCAAACTATGTATGTAGTTATTGTATTGTTGTGGTTTGTTATGGATTCTTTATTAGCTATTTTATTTTAATTTAATGGTAAAATGTAGGTTTCAGATGCAGATCACATTGACCGATTGATGTCATGCCTTCACATAGCACTTCCAATTGTTGTGGTAAGGGCAATTTAATGCTCTTTGTACATTCCTTGATTTGATATTTCTGAGAACAGCTCAATCTTTTTGGCATACAGAGGGGTGCACCTAGCGGCAAATTTCTCAACTACATAAACAAGTACATCATACCTGTTTTTGACCAGGTAAACCATAGATCTTTTTGTTTGGAACAATAATCAGTACTATATATAATTTCTTCTAGCTATTTTCCTTTCTTTTTTAACTTAATGAGTTTGTGATGTTTCCTTCAAAACCCTGATTTTATCTATATATATATTAAGCTACAGCTCTTTCTCTTATTATAGAAGAGAGAGGAAGGGGTAACCAAGAAAGTTCAGAGAATTAAGCGAAATAAAAATAAGACCCTAGAGACTCCTGGCTCTTGAGAGGCCAGGTGCTCCCCCAAATTCTCAAAATTCTTCTCTAGCCTTCCTAGACTACTGTTGCAATGATAAGACCCTCACCCCTCTCTGCTTCTCTATCTTTATGCACCTGCCTCACAACCCAGATGTCATCAAGTTAATTCTTCCTAGCCATTTCCCTTTCTGTATGTGCTGCATATTTCCAAGTCATATTTTCAAAGTTGTCTCTGCTGCATGATCTCTCAAAATATCTTGATAAGTGTCTCATTCCTTACATCATAGCACTCTAAATTGCACAATACAACATGTGTATCGCTTCATACATTGTGTATGGCATGATTGTATCTCTATCAAGGGAGATTCAATTGGAAACAAAATGCACACATTTATTTCATCAAACAACATGAGACTGTTTCCTGCTTTGGGAGAAATTGCAAGATTTCAAGCTATAGGGAGCATATCTGAGCAGCCAGAAACCCCTATTATTTTTGCCTTTCTTTCTTACCTTAAAAAACGATTCACATTTAAAGGCTGGGTTCTCTCTATTGAAGGCTTCTTATATCTTGTCACTCCTTTAACAGAGACGAGTTGTTTCCTTTATTTTTTGGGTCCAATTATTTTTAAGATTTGTTTAAATAGGCAGTTGATCTTAGATGTGTATCATCTTTGTAGTCAAATGATTTAATTGATTTTTATTTGAAGTGTTATGTAGTATGAACAATCACATTTAAAGAATGTTTGTGCCCCCTTAATGGAGATCCTCCTACAATATTGAAGTTGCTCTTTGATGATTTAAGCAACTGGTAGTGTAGAGATATTGACATACGCTTGACAGATCACTTCTGAGTATTGTATATGATCAATTTCTTCTTCAAGTCAGTAAGTCATTTGATTGACTTCTCCGTGCATGACAATTTCATTGTATTGACTTTTTTTTTTTTAAATAATACAATGACATAATTATCAAATGTTAAAAATGCTCCCCCCCCCCCCAAAAAAAAAAGGAACACTCCCTCTTATACTAAGCATCAAATGTTTGAAAGCTTCTTCCATTCATTATCTGTTATACTAGATTCAGTGCAAAAGTTGTCAGTCAGGTGCTTTTAGTTGTGATATAAGTACTGAATTTTTGTATGATGCCTCTTCTAGTCAGCTAATAAGATCGTGGGTTAGTTCTTAGTTGATTGAATGTAGGTTATGGATTAATGGAATCTGGGATGAAATTTTCTTACAAAAAATCTTTTAGCTGATATCCCCTCTGGCAGGCAGTTTGAGAAACTTGTTCTTACAAAAATGATCTTTCTTCTCCCTCAGCTTCCTGAAGAGAGAAAAGTAGATCTCCTGAAATCCTTAGCAGAATTCTCCCCTTTCACAACACCTCAAGATTCACGCCAAATTCTTCCTTCTATTGTTCAACTGCTGAAGGTAAATATCTTTTCTAAAGTGGCAACGTTGGTATTTCAATGTTTCCCTGATTTATATAGTGCATGAATGCCATTATATTTTGTCATCAACATACTGTGTCTGGGATTTGAGATGGCTGGCTATATTAGGCTTATTCAACCTTTATTTCTCTGTCTCATGAATGACTGCATTTTTCAATCAGTTGTCACTACTCACTAATTCTTTTCTGGAACCTTATATCTTTTCTTTTTGCCCCAACATCTTCTTTCTTTTCAAAAGAAAGTTAAGAAAGAAGCAAACTAGTTCTACCATATGGTTCTTGAGTTTCTCAGTTATGTTCTTTGACCATACTATTTGAACATTTTAAAATTCCTTTGTTCATGTAAGTTTGATGAATAATATGTTTTTTAAGTACATTGGTCCTGATGAAATTGTTTACTTTGCTCCACCTAGAAATACATGCCTTGGAAGAAGAGCGGAGAAGAAACAAATTTCACGTATGTTGAGTGTCTGTTGTACACATTTCACCATCTAGCTCATAAGGTGATTATACTGCCCTGATTGGACATTGAAGAGAGATCAGACTTTGTTGAGCAAGTCTCTTCTATATAGTGCTTTGACTGAACTTTGTGTATGTAGGTTCCTAATGCCACTAATAGTTTATGTGGTTACAAGATTGTTACTGGCCAACCTTCTGATAGGCTTGGAGAGGACTTTTCAGAAAATTATAAGGATTTTACTGAGAGGTATCATCTTTCTTTGAGAAGTTGTGTATAAATGATTCACCTTTTTTCAGTTATCTATTTTAAAATAACTTGTCAAGATGAGTTGTCGATTTTTCATTCTACTTTTTTATTGATTGTTTTCCCTTGTTTTGCTGTCATCTGTGCTTGAGCTGTGTTTGTTGTCTCCAAGTATATTGGGTGCATGTCCAAGCTACATTTGGCAAGTACCTGAGCTGAAAAATAAATTTGTTTACTTTTACTTATTTACTTGTGTATTAGAGGTTTGTTGACACATTGTGTTGGTGATGTTGGTGTCAAAAATGTGAGGTGCTTGAAATTAGGATTTTCCATACCTTATAGGGAGCTAATTTATTTGACCTGTGTATGATACATTCTTCCTTCGGTGAGATGCTAGGAGTATCTTTTGCTAATAATAGAGACCAATCTCCCTCGAATAAGGGTAGAGAGTAAACCTTTTCCGACTAGATTTGCTTCATACACAAAGGTTGGAAATTGAATCTGATAGACTCTGTTTTGCTAGAAAAACCTATAAGAGGAGATTCAGAAAAATACAAGAAAACGTTGACCTTGCTCTCCTTACTCTTAAGGAGAAAGCTAGTCAAACCTAGTATTGACTCATGGTGTTTTTAGGTTTGCTTTAGTAGAGCTTGGTGCGGGAGACTGTTCACTTTGCTTTTGGGTTATAGTAGCCGTTAGTTTTATTTGGGGGGGTAGTCATTACTTTTGGGTTTTGTTCAAGGGAGAGACTGGCTCTCAAAAACTAGAGGGCATGCTTAGATAGCATTGCATGTGTTTGGGTTCCATAGTGGTTGTTGTGAGTTCCGGCTATAACTTGGGAATAGGGTTTGTCTGAATCGGTGAAGTGTCTTTTGTAACATTGATTCAGCCTTTTGGAATTATTATTATCAAACCCCAGTATTTCCCCTGATTTGTTGGTCATTAATCTCTATTATTTCTGCATATTTATCTGTTCAGCGATAGTCTCATCATTTGGTATCAGAGTAGGTTGATTTAAGCACCTATGTGTGAAGAGAAATGGAGGAGAGGGTGCAATACGCTGACCTTGAGTTGCAAGAGTTGAAGGAGACAGTGAGGAGTCTAATTAGAGACGTGACTTCTCTCAGAGACATGATGAAGGATTTAAGCGGAACCTTGGGGCGATTATCAGACAAAAATAGGAAGGGAAGTGAGTCACTCTTACATGGTAGTGGGAAGAGCCACCAAGAAGAATCGGTAGAGACGAGTGCAGGAACGGATAAAGAACCCACCAAGTACAGAAAGCTGGAGTTATCGGTATTCAATGGGGAGGAACCTTTGGGATGGTTCTTCAGAGTAGAGAGGTATTTCCAGGTTAACTCCATGGAAGAGAGAGAAGTTGGAGGCTGCAGTAGTATGCCTCGAAGGTAGAGCCCTGAACTGGTACCAATGGGTTGACACCAGAACACCTTGCGAAGCTGGTCTGAATTCAAGATCGAAGCCCTGCGCAGATTCCATCCTTCTTAGTTGGGAGATGAGTACAAGATGTTCTTGTCAGCGAAGTAAGAGGGTTCGATCCTAGAATATGTAGAGGAGTTCGAACGTCTCTCTGCACCTTTGAAGGATGCACCTGAAGCGTGTTTGGTCGCAACATTCAGGAGGGGATTAAGAACCGAGATTAGGGCGAAGTTGAAACTCACCAATGCTTCCACATTATGCGAGGTGATGGAAATGGCCATTTGGGTTGAAGAGAGGAACCTGGAAGTCGAACAGGCCAGAGAAATTCGGGTACCCAGAACCCAAAAATTTTCGGGTGGGCCAAAAACCAACTCAACCCAAACTTACTACACACGTGCTACGCAGGTGGCTGATCCCTGGAAAAACATGGTGGTCCCTTCTTAGCAATAGATGCGACGCAGAAGACTGAAATGAAGAGTTATGAGTCAAAAACAGCAAGCTCTTCGACTGGGCATGCTTCGACCAGAGGAGGAAACACTGTGCGAAGATTGTCAGAGGCCGAAATCACGCGACGGAGGGAACTCGGACTCTACTTCAAGTGTGGAGATAAGTTCAAACCAGGACACACATGCAGAAACAAACAGCTACATGTGTTGATCATGGAAACTGAACCACCAAAGCAGCTAGAAGATGATGAGCAGGGGGACGAACTTACAGAAATCAATGAAGAGGAGGATATGACAGCAACAAAAATGGAGCTGTCAATGAACTCCATTGCTGGTCTAGGGGGAAATCACACGATGAAGGTGAAAGGAGTGATGGAGAGTGAAGAAATTGTAGTGTTGATTGGTAGTGGAGCAACCCATAACTTCATATCAGAAGGTTTCATGATCAGGAAGCAGATGCCTTATGAAGAAATCCCTACATATACGATCACAGTTGGGGATGGTTACAATCTTAAGAGGAACCAACGATGTAGGGACCTTAATCTGAAGGTACAGGGGCTCAATATTAGTCAAACATTCTACCCTTTTCCTCTAAGTGGAGTAGATGCTGTGCTAGGGGTTGAATGGCTCAAATCCTTATGAGATGTGAAGATGAATTGGGGACAGTTAACAATGGAAATAGGAAAGAAGGGTAATCGAGTATGCTTGAAAGGTGATCCTACCTTGGCTAAGACTCAAGTCTCCCTCAAATCATTAATTCGATCAATGTAGAAAAGAGAGGAGGCTTTCATGATTGAATATAATGGTCTATCACAAGGGGGAGACATGCATGAGGCCCAGTCGGTGCTTCTAGAAATTCAATCACTACTCCATAAGTTTATTGCGGTCTGCCAACCAGTTGAAGGATTACCACCACCCCGTCCTCATGATCATGCGATTGTCATCAAGCTTGGGAAACAACCCCCAAATATACAGCCCTACAGGTATCCACATGCCTAAAAAAATGAGATTGAAAACATGGTTAAGGATATGCTTAAGGCTGGAATTATACAGCCAAGTCACAGCCCTTACTCAAGCCCGGTGCTGTTGGTTAAAAAGAAGGATGGGAGTTGGAGATTTTGCGTGGATTACAGGGCTTTAAACAAGATCACAGTCCCGGATAAATTTCCCATTCCAGCCATTGATGAGTTGCTTGATGAGCTTAAAGGAGCAACGGTTTTTACAAAGTTGGATCTCAAATCAAGGTATCATCAAATTAGGATACAAACTGGAGATGAACCAAAAACAGCTTTTAGAACACATGAGGGGCACTATGAATTCAAGGTAATGCCTTTTGGACTTACCAATGCTCCCTCAACTTTTCAATCACTAATGAATGAGGTATTTCATGAATACCTATGCAAATTTGTGCTTGTATTTTTTGATGATATACTTGTTTATAGTAGTGATTTAACTACTCACCTCAAGCACTTGGAGGATGTCTTTTCTATTTTAGAAGAGAACCAACTGGTCATTAATTTGAAGAAGTGCATGTTTGCCCAACTGAAGATTGAATATCTTGGGCACATCATATCTCAAGAAGGGGTACAAGCTGATCTGTCTAAGATTGAGAGCATGATCAAATGGCCCAAACCTCAAAATGTGAAATTGTTGAGAGGTTTCTTAGGGCTGACCGGTTATTATAGAAGGTTTGTGAAAAATTATGGGAAGATAGCATGCCCACTCACTGATATGCTCAAAAAGGATGCATTCAAATGGACCAACGTGGCTGAAGAGGCATTTGAGAAGCTCAAAACAGCCATGACAACTGTTCCTGTGTTGATTTTACCTGATTTCTCTATTCCTTTTGAAAACGAAATTGATGCTTCTGGGATGGGTGTGGGGGCAGTGTTGATGCAAGGGGGCAAGCCAATAGCTTATTATAGCCAAAAGCTATCTAACAGGGCTCAACAGTGTTCCATTTATGAAAGAGAGTTGATGGCGATTGTTATGGCGGTTAAGAAGTGGTGTCACTACCTATGGGGCCACAAATGTATCATCTGCACTGATCAAAAGGCCCTTAAATTCTTGTTGGAACAGAGAATTGTTGAGGAAAATCAACAACATTGGGTATCCAAATTAATAGGGTATAAATTTGAGATAGTGTACAAGTCGGGCAAGGAAACTAGGGCTGCTGATGCGCTCTCAAGACAAGAGGAGAACCTAGAAATAAATGGGTTTTCCTTATGGCAGTATGACAAAATTGAAGATTGGGAAAAAGAGGTGATGGTGGACCCTAAATTCAAGGCTGTGATGCAGCAACTTATCACGAAGCCCAATAGTGTAGAGGGGTACAGCATTAAAAAGAGGTGCTTACACTACAAGGGGAGGTTGGTCCTGCCAAGAGGGTCTTGTAGAATTCCATTATTACTCAAAGAATTTCATGACTCACTGGTGGGAGGACATTTGGGCTACTTATGCACTTATAAAAGGCTGATTCAGGTGGTATATTGGGAGGGCATGAAGAAGGATATTCAGCAATATGTAGCTCAATGTAATACGTGTCAAAAAAATAAATATCAAGCCTTATCCCCAGCTGGGCTGTTACAACCTCTACCCATTCCTCAACAAGTATGGGAAGATATTAGCATGGATTTCATTATCGGGCTTCCTAGAGCCAAGAGGTACGATACAATCATGGTTGTGGTGGATCGTCTCACTAAATATGTTCATTTTCTAGCCCTTTCGCACCTGTTTACTGCCCAAGATGTTGCTGTCAAATTTGTGAATGAGATTGTCAAATTGCATGGTTTTCCAAAAACCGTTGTGTCTGATAGAGATAGAATTTTTATCAGTCAATTTTGGCAAGAGATCTTTAACCGGGCTGGAACTCAATTACGCCTTAGTTTCGCTTATCACTTGGAAACAGACGGCCAAACTGAGGTACTGAATAGGGGGCTGGAAATTTATTTACGTTGCTTCACAACTGAAAAACCTACCCAATGGGTTCAATGGTTATCTTGGGCTGAATATTGGTACAACACCATAAACCATAGTGCATCCGGAATGACACCTTTCAGGGCTGTATATGGGCGAGATCCACCTGTTTTCTGCAAGCTCAGTGATGAACCTTCACCAATT